GCATTTTCTTGTCTTTAATATTTAGCGAAAAAACTTCTATAGGACATTGGTGAAACTTTACAATAATATTTAACCTGAAAGTTAACCAGCAAAACGTTTTTTGTTTTATCTTTCAATGCTTTAGCAATCATTGATAAAAAAATTTGCTGCACGCATATCCTTATTCTGAGGTCATTCCCAATGCAATATTCACTTTTCTTTACTATAATAATTAAATAACCGAAGTGGAAGCAAATACAATTCCTGGAAATCGAACAATTAAATCCAATAACATGTTTTGGTTAAGCAAGTTTTGCAAACTTGAACATACGTTCAAAAGGGGTTTGACTTCGTTGTTGCAACTTGGTCTTGTTGTCAAGGTGACTTATTAGAACGCACCTAGTCCGAAGTCTTCTGCCATAGTAGTTATCATATTTCTCAGCATCAGACAGTGAACTTGGTTTATTTTTAAACGTTTCGCCGGCATCGTAGTCGGCATTATCAGTGAGTGCTGTCATTCACCGCAGCAAACTACAAGTTCGTCAAAGAGACAGGTGAAGCCAATTTCTCGACAAAGGTTCTGCCAAAAACGGCTACAATATCACGCATCTTTCTGTCCTGGCCTATCTATACACTCTTTATCCTCTTATCCAACTCCCACCCTATCACAACTTCTCACTTGTTTACATTGCACTCGTCAAAATGTGTGACCTATTGTGGCAAATATAATGTGGCTCATCACAACGAGGTCAATCCACTTCTAAAAATCGAAAGGAGACTGCGACCATACCAGAGGTCACAACATCTTGGTCTTCATATCTTCAATACTTTTAAAAGATTTTCATCCTCTTTAGGAATTTTCTTTGTGGTATGCAGCTGATATTCCAGCTATCTAACTTTATTCCCAATCTAAATTGTGTATCATCACGATTTATTTTATGGGAGAAATAACACAGATCAACATAATATAATATATCACCTCACGTATACGGACCACCAAGTCAATGTCAAGAATGTACTCAGAATACTTAGCGTTCACAAACATCACAGTAAGTTTATATGGCAATGATTGTAACTATCAGGCCATTTATGCCATTCGACACTACAAACCTGAATTTGGTTTGAGTATGACATGGCAGTGATTCAGCAATTGAAAAATTTTAATCCACTTGAAATCAATTTGTCACTCATAAGCTTATTACATTTATTTTAGAAAATCTATAATATCGTTAATGAAATAATGTGTTTATATAGCATTAGGCATCCAAGCTTATTTTTTGGTATTCATATTTTATTAGCTATGCCGCCCCTATATTTGATACTTTCCAATATATTGTATTTTTAAAAATATAATTCGGTGATTAGTCCGTCGTTGCTGACAGAGAGACATTGGAGTTTCTCCAAGAGACAGTGTTCGTTAGGAAGGCCAATTATCTCTTCGCTGCCCACATTCTGCTCTGGTCGACAGCTGTCCTGTTGTTAATTTCCATTCTTACACTTCTGCTACTACTACTATCGCTTCATTATTCTTCGGGTCGTGTTGATGGCTGTATTGGCGACTATTTAACTTTAATAAACCGCAAAGACAGAAGCACGGAATACTTGCCTGCAAGTACGGTTATTAGTGCGTCACCAGGGGCAAGCAAATTCCCGACGGCCGTTGAGGATCCTGACTCATTTAAAGAAGATGCTGCTGCATTGATATCTGGGTGTTCTGCCACTGGTTGCGAGACAAATATAATTGTCTAGTCGTACAATCTATGGGCAGATATGGACAGGTTTGGGGGAACATTTATTTACTTTTAGCCTTTCTTACTGGCAGCTTACAAGTAAATACTTTTTGTAATTTATGATGGGGTGGCAAAGCTTATCAAAATCAAAATTCCAATATTCGCGGCACTTAATATAGACATCTGTCTGCAGTATTACATTCATAAGAGGCTGAATGACAACTATACTAATTAGCGGGAGGAGTTCCTAAATTTCTAGCTACTCTGTTGTACAATTGCATGAGGAAAAGATTCTGCTAAAGGTGCAATAATTTTTAATATTCAGGCCTAATTGATCTTGTATGATAAGCCTACTTATATCTGGAGTTTGTGTATGGTTAATGTATTCGGAGGTCTATCCTACCAGAAGACCACAATGTATCTCTCCTGGTCAACTTTTATTTGGCTTCGCTAACGATAATGGTCAACGATGCTTTCAAGATACTCCAGTTCT